GCACTTGTTTCTAATAGCTTCTTGTTACTACTAGTAAGGCACTTGTTACTAGTAGCGAGGCACTTGTCTCTACTAGCTTCTTGTTACAAGGTTAAAACCACACCTTTTTGCTTTTATGATTCATTTGATGTGTTAAAACCTTTAGACATCTTTAGAACTTTAGACCCCTTTGAATATATTTCTTTTCCTATGTGATTCTTAGTTTCTTGAATTTTAGACCTTTAGACCTCTTTTTTGTTTAGACCTTTTAGAATGTCATGTTGCAACAACACTACCAAAGGACATTGTCCCACTTCTTTCGGTATTCAAACTTCCAAACGTTAAGCGTATAGCCCGTATAGTTTCCTTTTCTTCACTTCTCACGTGCTGGTGCCTATTTCTAGTGATTGGTCAGGGTGGGCTGCCTGATATAGACTTCAAAAACCAACAGTGGATCGCCCTGAAAGCGCATGCAACAAAATTGAAGCTGAAGGACACTTCAACCTAATAGTGATGGCCTCCAACCTAACACCGATATGGACTTCAAAGATGAAGTTGACGGACACTTCTATAAGGGAAATACAGCGGAATCGCTTGGCGTTGCAGGAGAGCCACTTGATCGTCAAAAACCATCCGGAATTTCTATCAAGATAAAAACGTCTTTCCCTTTCACATGATGTTTCGTGGGTGCATGTTTGGCTTTCACCGACCCTACTCAAGCCCAAAACTTGACTTGCCACCCCTTTACATGGAGTTTATCGCGAAACCTAAATGGATATAGGGTAGGGATTGCAAATGCTTTGTTGTTCCCGAGATTGTGGTAGCTATCGGGGTTCTTACTTCTGACTGGGTGACTGAAATCAACATATTGTGTTTTTCCATCAAAAGTCGACATCCGTCCTGGATGTGTTGAATGGCCGCCTCTGAAGAGTCTATAACCGTGCGCGTGCGCATGAGCTCTGCCCAAGCGCCGGCAGAGACGCAGCGCCGATGGCCTCCACCAACGAACCGTTCGATGAGGCAGCAAACTGCTGGTGTGATGCTGCTCACATCTTCTCCAAGAAGTGAACTCCAGGTCTGAAAAAAAGGATAGACTTTCAAGTGTTTTGTCTTTTTCTTTAAATAAACAGCGATGGCCTCTAACTTATCGACTCTAGACTTCCTTTCTCAAAAATCGAAACTGATTCGTCACGCCTATAAGCGTCTCCAAATGTCGTCTAAGATCAGCAATGGACCGTTCTGTTCCTCTCACCTGCAAACACACGCTACTAGGGGCTCCTGGCATCACTACTAGAAACAAGTGCCTTACTAGTAGTAACAAGTTAGGATTTTAGTTAGAATTGTAATTACTAGCTTCTTGTTACTACCAGTAAGGCACTTG